CACACATGCACGTAATGCCTTTCTTCTCCCGTGAACAATCTTGAACAACGTATCTTGACAAGAGAGGTTGGGCACCGCGCCTTGGATGAAGTTGGATCAGAGCTGATTAGGAAAGAGATTAAGATGGTGCATAGCCTCACGTCTGGAGTCGGTCAGATTGTCGGACACGTGGCAGGCGACTGTGCTTCTGATGATCGCTTACAAATTGAATGAACATCACTCCGCGAATTCGCATGGCCAGCAGCTGTGTTGCCCTGTCCTCTTGCTTCAGTTCCTCTTTTCCCTTGTCTGCACGTGGATGGAAACGGATAGCTGACGACATCAAAAGTACTTCAAATTTCCATTTTTTGTCAAGAGAAACACAAGCATGTGCGCCGAGGCTGTTTGTCCGTGCGCCCAGGCACCCGACTTGTGCGTGGATACACGCCCGGGTGTCGGGCGGGGCATGAAACCCGGGCAGGGTTCCAGGGAGCCCCAGCAGTGCCAGCACCAAAAAAAAGAAGCAAAAAAAAACTCAAAAATTTCCAGAAAAAAAAGAATGTTGTGTAGAATTTCAATACAAACGACCGTTTTTTTTTTGTTGGATACAAACGACTTTTAGTTGAGGGTCACATTTTGTAGATTCCTCACGGAATCGAAGATAAAAAAGAAAACAACCGAATCAGATTAAGGCACCGCACTTTAAAGTTTAAACCCCTTTAGCCCCTTAAAGAACATTTACACCCCCGTCCCCTCCCCCCCTTGACAGCCAACACTCGAAAAGAGAAAAGAGCCTGTAGTTGGGCTCCTCCACGCTATGAAACCGTTTGAGCGCGCTTAAGCGCGACCGCGCGCGCTTAAGCGCTCTCTTAAAGACCCCCAGTGCGCGCTTAAAAGTGCTCAATCAGTTTTCGGGCGCGCGCACACCAAAACATGAGCGCGCACACCTGGCGGGGACCCGGATGTGGAGGGGAACACGTGGGGTTGTTTGCACCGAAAAAAAAATAAAAAATTGGGTGGGGCTGGTTTTTGGGGGGGTTGGGTGGGCGGTGGAGGGAGTCCAAGGTCTGTTTTGGGGGTGTGGTGGCTGAGGTGGGGGGGGGTTGGGACCTGGGTGGGGGAGGTGGTGGCTCTCTCTCTCTGTGTCTCTCTCTCTGTCTCTCTCTCTGTCTCTCTCTCTGTCTCTCTCTGTGTCTCTCTCTGTCTCTCTCTCTATATATAATTGTACGCAAGAGGTTCTGAACAGGGGGAGTTATAAGGAAGAAGATAAAAAACAGAATTCATTTTTTCCTGTTTTTCTTTTTTTCGCATTTGCGATCTGATATTTATGTGATGATATATACTCCGACGTTGCTAGCTCTCTGCTTTTGCTGATGATGCGAGCGTCGGGCCTGTACTAGCAGGCTCTGTCTTTTCTTATGGAAGAGAATATTTTTTAATCTACTCTTTAATCTTCCCTATTGATTGGGTTGTTGCGTTTTGCGGGCCTACTGAATGGTTCCGTTTTCTTACTATGGATATGGTAGAATGTTTGTTTTGTGAATCTTATCTGCTTTGATTCTGTTATTGGGCATCCTGGTTGGTTGTTTCCCGTTGTTCGGCCTTTTGAGCGTGGGGCGGGAATCGTCATCCGGGATTGTCTTCTCTTTCTTTTTGGTTGTCACACTGGGATCGGAGTCTTTCTTTTTGCTTTCTTTGCAGACAAGAATGTTTTGATATCCTGGTTGGTCTCATCCCGTTGTTTGGCCTGTGAGTTGGGGCGGTGCTTGCATGTGGGACTTGTCATCTGGGATTTGTTTTGTTGCCCCCTGTTCTGTATTATTTGGCTGTTCCCTTCCTCTTTTCTTTGCCTCTCTGCCTTCTGGCTGTGTGCAAGTGGGTTGATATGAGTCATATGACACACGGGGCAGCCGCCGCTCAACCTTCATCCACGTGGGTGGCCTTCTACGCAAGAGGTTCTGAACAGGGGGAGTTATAAGGAAGAAGATAAAAAACTGAATTCATTTTTTCCCTGTTTTTCTTTTGTTCGCATTTGCGCTCTGATATTTATGTGATGATATATGTGTGTGTGTGTGTTACAGTGTGTACTTGTGTGCGTGTGTGTGTGTGTGTGTGTGTCCGTGTGCCTGTGTGTGCGGGGCTTGGGGGGGTCTGTGGTTTTTTTTTTTTGGTTTTATGCTTTTTATTTTTAAAACATACATGTGAGCTTAAAAAAAAAAATTGAAAAACATGGTGTCCTAGGTCTCCGAAAGATCTACAAGTCTCTATTTTTTATTTTATTTTTCGGTTATTGTTCGCCTGCAAAAAAATCCCTGCGAGAAAAAAAAGAAAAACCTGCCCATTTCATTATTGCAATCAGACTCGACCTCTTCACACTTGTCATGCATGCAAACAGCGAAACAGCAAACTGGCGACATGCGCCCACACAGTACTCAAAGATATCGTAACCAGGTAGGAGTTCCCTTCAAACTCGCTATGGCGACTGAGCGCCCACACAACTCACTGTTCGCACTCTGGATCACCCTGGATGTCCCACACACAACACTCTACACGCAACACACACACACACACACACGCTACTATAGCTATGGCAGCTATGGCTGCCACTATCCTATCGCTACACTACACTTCACTGCCCTCTTCGTCTTCGGGCGCACTGCAGACCTCCCCGCACAAGCTGCTGAGGCAGCGCTTCCGCATGGCATCCACAGGAATGAATGAATGGCTGGACGCAGCCTCTTGATTTATACTTCTGTGCGGCGTTGGTCTGCCCTGTATCCCTTGGCCCACGATGTGCACAGTCCCAAAYGGTACCTGCTTGACTGGACCGGACTGGGCTACCTGGGACTGCTGACTCTACGTAGTGGACCTACACCACTTGCCCACTTGCCTCGGCCTAAACAGGGGCTGACTCCGAAAGGCCAGTTCTAGAAACTTCTACTTTGGGCTTTCGGTACTGTAGCAGCTACGACTTTGCCCTTTCAGGTAAGTAGCAGCTACGACCTTGACCCTTCAGACATCCTACAGCTACGACTTCGGAACTGTCTAGACTCCTACCCTACAGGTCTACAGTTCGACTCCCTTCTAAGCTGTGACCTACGACAATCTACCTACCACTGGCGTTTCGACAGGTCGCAGGTTCAAATCTACGGGTTGTCATCAATACTGTACACAGGTAAGATGGGGAACTAGGGATCGAGCCTTGGGATCTGCATTTGCTACTGCGAACTGGTGAATACCGTTTCACTCCCGCCAGCCTAAATTCGAGGTCCTCCGAGAAAATTTCAGTCCAAGGCAGGACCTTTACCCTTCTGTTGTCTTTCATAGGCCCGGACTATATCGGGAGCTGTCTCTAGAAGTTCAGATCTTGTAAACCAGCGGTCGTCTTCCGGTTCTTGATAACTAAAATGAACCTTGTACTGTTTTTGCGGACGACCCCTACCTCCGGTTCTRAAGACATCCTCAGCCACYATACCGTCTATGTCATACCTTCCATCCATATCAGGTGGGATCATTGATCTACGGGATGGAAACTGATCACTTGTTTGACAAGGTAGCAACTTCGATGCGTGGAAAACTGGATACGTGTGGAGGTGTGCTGGTCGTTCTATTGTATAGGACGGTCCATCTTCACCGCCCTTGACTTCAAGAACAGGCCACGGTCCTCTATACGTGGGCAGTAACTTCTGCGACATGTTCTCCTCAGGTGCAAACTCTTTCAAACTAACCCAGACTAAGTCGCCTACTTGAAACTGTTGAAGGGTGACGATGTTTGTTTGCTTGTTCTATCATCCTATGCTGGGCTTTCCTGAGGTTTTCTACAACAATAGCTAGTTCTTTCTCGTGCTGTACAGCGAACTCCCGGGTCCCCGGCGGCAATCTCTGAATCTGATCCCAGTTGAGTCCCTCAAACGGTCTGCGCGGTCTAAAGGACTTGTGCAGTTCGTTGGGAGTGCGGCAGATGGCTAGATGCACACTGTTATTGTACGCAATAGCTACTTTAGGCAACATCTCATCCCAGTTAATCTGATCTGGCCTAATATACATGCGCAGAACTTGCTGTAGGATCTTGTTCATTTGCTCTGTCTGACCGTTAGTCTCTGGATGGCGGCCGGACGACATCAACAACTTAGATCCGTATACTCCCATGAGGTCTTGCCAGTTCTGGCTAGTAAAGCGACTATCTCTATCGCTAGCTATAGACAACGGGATTCCGTTCTCACTAATCCAACAGCCAAAGAACCTCTGTATGACTAAATCAGTACGCGCCTCAGAAGGCAAAGGAACAAAAACTACGTACTTGCTAAAGTGGTCAACTATGACCATGACTTGGCTCTTGCCATGCCTGCTCTTGACTTGAGTGCCCATGAAATCTATTGACACTGAGTCTCCCGGCTGATCCGGAATGGGCAAGGGTCTGAGAAGACCTAGCGGGGCGCGCGTAGAACTCTTATTACGCTGGCAGACTTTGCAGCTGCGAACATACTCTACGCAGTCATTCTTCATCCCTGGCCAGGTATACGCGCGCATCAGATTGGCCAAAGTCTTTTGCCAACCGAAATGACCCTCTATGTCGTGACATTCCCCCATAATCAGACTACGGATCTCTTCGCTATTGGGGATGCACAACCGGTCACAGACATTAGTCTTCTCGAAGAGTAACCCTCCAATAGTGCGGTAGTTCGGCTCGGTCTCTGGGGCCCCCTTGACTCGCGTGAGGAGCTCACTATAGATAAGGTCCTGCGCGTAGGCTTCTCTAACCTTCTGCTGCAGATCCTTTCCTATATCGAGGTAATGTACTATTGCCCCAAAGTAATCTGCTCTCCTACTCAGAGCATCCGCGACTACGTTGTACTTCCCTTTGACAGCCTTGAGCTCGAAGTCGTACTGATCTATCTCTACGGCCCACCTAGTAAGCTTAGGTGTCATCTTGGCCTGGGTCTTTAACCACCGTAACGTTTCATGGTCCGAATAGACTTTGAAGTGCCTCCCAAGCAAGTAGTGCTTCCAGTGGTCTAATGCTTGCCTGAGAGCGTAGAGTTCCCTCTCATAGGTAGATGTCGCAACCTTCTCTGAAGGCATCCTAGCGGACATGAACTCTACGGGTCTATAGCCATCCTATGCCGTACTGGCTAGCATCCGTAGTAACAACAAAAGGCAAGGACGGATCGGCGACCTTAAGGAACGGATTCTCTATCAACGCCTGCTTTAGCTTCTTCATGGCGGACGTGCAGTCCTTGTCCCACTTCCAGATTGTCTCTTTTCTCAGGGGCGCAACGATGGTGGAGAAGTTCCTTACGAACTTCCTGTAGTAATTCGCTAAGCCCAGGAACGAGCGCAACTCTGTCAGCGTACGTGGCGTGGGCCAATCTCTAATCGCTGCGATCTTGCTATCTTCTGGCTTAACGCCGTCTCCGTCTAAGACGTGGCCTAGATACAAAACTTGGGTCTTCTCCCAATCACACTTCTTTGCATTGATCTTGAAGTTAGCTTCTCTTAGCTTCTCCAAGACTTGCCTGAGATGACCCTGATGCTCTTGGAGGGTCCGGCTAAACACTAGGATGTCATATAGATAAACTACAACGAATCTGTCTAACCACGGCCTAAACAAATCATTCATACACCGCTGAAAAGTTGTTGGCGCATTGGTTAGTCCAAAGGGCATCACTATAAACTCATAATGCCTGTACCTAGTCCGGAAGGCTGTCTTATACTGATCATCAGGGTGTACCTCTATCTGATGATATCCGGACCTTAAGTCTATCTTAGAGAAATACTTAGCCCCCTGCACTCGATCTAAGAGATCTTCGATCCTAGGCAGTGGCTCAACATTCTTTACTGTAATAGCATTCAGACCCCTATAGTCTATGCACATTCTCAGCTCTCCCTCTTTCTTAGGAACAAAGAGAACAGGCGCTCCGAAAGGAGACGAATTGGGCCTAATCCAACCCTTCTCGAGGAGCTCGTCTAATTGCTTGCGAAGCTCCTCTAACTCTTGCGGGGACATCCTATACACAACACCCTTAGGAGTTCTACTGCCAGGCTCTATCTCDATACGATGCTGGATGGGCCGTGGCACCGTGCCTGTCGGCGGCTCAGTCAAATCCTTAAACTCCTCCAGCAGCTTGGCAATCGCAGGGTCCATCGGCTTCTCTTCCGTAGGCTCAGTGACGGGCCTAACATAGGCAACAAAGACCTGTTCCTCTAATTTCTCCTTCTTCACCAATCTGGCGAACGCAGGGGCACAAAGGCAGCAATGTGCCAAGGAATTCTCTACTCCTGACACATGAAACAGGCGGGCAGTCTTAGCCTCGCCTGCCGAACTAGGGAGTCTACACTCGTGCTCCTTCAGATGGAGCGTTGCCCCGACTGCCTCTCCCCAATCCATTCCCAGTACTATATCAAACGGGAGGCTGTCCTCTACGAGGAGAGTCAGGGAGTGGAGGACCTTCTCCACCTTCCCATCTTTCTCTAGGTGGAAATACGCCTGAACTCCCTCTACGTAATCCTCGACAACCATGGTACGATTGTCCGCGAGGATACTAACTATGGGGTCTGTTAGTTTCTGGACCTTAAGTCCTAGCCTCAACTTTTGCAGCGCTTGCTTACTAATATAGTTGCGGGTGGCCCCTGAGTCTACTAGGGCCCCTAGTCTACTTCTAAAAATCTCTGCATCTAATAAAATGAGCTGCCCTTTATTCTCCTTCTTCATCTTGGCCCAGGCGGGCCTCCTCTCCTTCAACTCTTCCGCCACGCCTGTGAGGGAGGTGTCTAGCGAAACTCTAACACAAGCACTCTCGGGACAGTTGTCTAGACACCGGCCTGCAACCTCTGCCGTAGGCACATGTGATGTGGGAGTCTCCTGCCGGCTAGCGCTATTTACCCCACATGGCGTAGTGGTAGGGGCAGTTGCTACCCCTACTGGCGGCTGCCTTTTGGCTCTAGAGCAGCCGTTCGGGTCTCTCGATACTTAGGACAATATTTGATAATATGCCCCGGGTCACCGCAGAAAATGCACTGGTCGCGGTTCAATCGTTGTTGCCATAAAGCATGGTCCAGACCCAAAGATTCCCGCGGCCTACCCTGAGGTAGCCCTGGGTGCTGAGGTAGCCCTCGGTGCCATCCTCCTACTCTATAGGGAGACCTGTTCCTAGGACGGTTTTGCGGGGGACCTTGACCCCTACCTCCCGCTTGGCGGTTCCCTCCTCTGCCGCCAACCCCCTGATCGCCCTGGAACCGGCTCCCTGAGGCCCGACCCCCTTGGCCTACCTATGAGCCAAGCGGTGGAGTCTGGTGGAGGAGGAAGACGTCGGCCATAGCCGCGGAGCATTGACATAGAGTGCCGGAGGAGAGAGAAAGGGAGGACAGAGAAGGAGGGACTAAGGAGAGAGAAGAAGAAGTGTGGGAGGAGGAGGTTAGAGAAGAAGGCAGACATAGCCGGGGGCGAGCACAAAAAAAAAAAAAATAATAATACAGCGAAAGTGAAGGGAAAGAAAGTGAAGAAAGGGGAAGTAGACGGCGAGGGTGACGAAGGTGAAGGTGCCGGCAGCCATAACCGTGGTGAAGGGTTGACCGGGCGTTGACCAGGGCGTTGACCAGAGGGTTGACCAAGGGTTGACCAAGCATTGACCGGGGCTTGTCTGCGTTGACTCAGCGTTTTCCAAGGCGTTGACCGGAGCTGCTGACCAAGATTGTGACCAAGCTAGAGTTGGTGATATCTCGTTGAACCCTCAGCCTATCCCCTTACCCTGTGGATGTGCACTTACCCCACGGTACTTGCTGAGTTGTCTGTCTACTCCTTGCGGCCTCCCTCCAGCCGCGACAGCAGCGTAAGTCCTCCCGTGGCCCACACTACTGTCCTCCTCCTCGAACCCCCATTCAATCTGGTCGTAGGGGATCTCGTCCACACTACCCTCATCTAAAGTGAGCACAAGGCTATCCTTGGTCTTGACTTGCCCTGAGATAGTGTGGCCCTTCCACTTTTTGCCCTTGTCTAAATCTTTGTGCCAGAAGGTGGAAATCGATGCAGACTTCGCCTCGAACGCGACCACTTCCCTGCCGGGTATATCATAAGTCATAGCAGGGTCCTGACTCTTGTCAAAGAAGTGACCACGTAGCGTTTCGGGCATAGCCCGGTAGAAAAGGTTGACCAACTGGGTTTTCGTGACCTTGTGGTCAGGAACAGCCACCAACTCATCCATTGTGCCCTTGAGTGCCCTTGCACTCTTCCATTGGCGCGAGTGTATTGTCTGAAGCCAATCTGAGGCTTTGACACTACGAGCAACATCAGCGAATCGCTCGCGCAGCAGCTTCAAGAATTCAATGAGGGACGTAAACGAGGAGTACGCAACAGGATCGTCACTACAGTTGGCAGCACGAACAAGGGATCTCGCGAAACTGGCGGCCTCGTCTCTAAGTGCATGGATCGCAATTAAGACCTGCTGATCCGGGGAGACCTGTTGCAAATGCACATAGGTCTTAACATTGGTCTCCCAATTGTCAAAGTTCTCTTCCCTTTTCCCACTGTAGGAATCAGGGAATTTGACTTTGACTGGCTCCCTGCGAGGACGGGCCTCCTCCTCCTTGGGAGCAGCCACCTTGACGCCCTCGATGGCGCCGACACAAAAACGCTCTGTCTTCTCGAGGCGATGACTCACCTCGGATCCCACAGCGCCTACTAGTTCGCGAGCAAAATCTCGTAATCTCGTTCGCATCGAACGCACGGATATTTCCTAGCTGCTCATAGTGCTTTTCTTGCACTTTAGCTAACTGGTCAACGCTCTGGGCGATGATCTCCACTTTGCGTTGGAAATCTACTTGTGGAGTCAATTGTGTTGTTAAGGCAGTCCTCACCTCCGCTAGTTCTTGCATTGCTGCATTCGCCGCCTCCACTCTTCTCTTCTTCTCCCTCATCACTGCGAGCTTCCACGCCATCCTTTGTTCATCCTCCATCGCCCGCCGCGTCAGAACATCTTCTTCTGCTTCCCATTTCTTCGTGGCGGCTTCTTGCTCATCCTTGGGGATGTACATAGCAACCTCTTCCTCCTCACCCAGGGATAAGTTGGCAACCCACTCCGAAATCTTCTTCTCCATCTCATCACTGCTGTTGCCGTTGTGCTGCCCACTCTTTTGCAGTGACGGTCCTTCCTCTTCTTCATCCACCTCCTTCAGCTTCTCTTCTTTTTCCTTTTTCAACCTCTCTTTCTCCCTGGCCATCTCTTCTTCCATCTTCTTTAGTTAGGCCGCCTGTTCCTCTTTCAAGGCCTTCTTCTTGGCCTCCTTCTCCTTCCTTTCCTGCAGGATGGCGGCCATCTTCTCCTCCTCCTCCTTCGTGTATGGTTGGGTGGCGGTACCACCTCGAGTGGGCCCTACTCTACACGCAAAGGTACGCCAAAATCCCAGACGAAAAAGGAGACGCCAGAGGGTCCCCCAGAGGGAGAACCCAACCAGCAACCCATACATCGGGTAGTCGTCCATCGTGGTGTTGGTGCGCGACAAGGGTCCCACTCCTCACCATGTAACCCTACCCGGACACACTAACCTACTGACTGACTTCCTAAGGACCACAGGATAAGACCCTGTCAACTATGGCCACTACTAACCCAAGACTACTCTAAGGTTGTCACTAGAGAACCAAGAGCTGATCAGAAGGCATTTAAGGAGATCCCCCAAACTCCGCAAGAATTCTTTAACGTCGCAGACAGGACGATGCGATCAGCTTGGTTCCTCTGGCGATTTCAGCCCACAACTCAGCCCGTCCAGCCTCCTGTGCCACACCGAGCAGCCCGCCGATCAGTACCGGTCCTTGGAGGGRTTCGTATCCCTYGGGACAGTCGAGTCGTCAGACACGGATCATCAGCMTTCTGGGTCCGGTAGGGGAGTGGCTCAACCAGGCCTCAACACTTAAAGACGGCCTTCGTTTCAGCCTACAGCTCGGAGTTCAGACCCTCCATACTGAACTCAGTAGACCTGCCGGACAGTACCGGTCATTGGGCTAGACGAGTTGTTTAACGAGCGCTCGCCGCTCATGCATAGGTCTCCAAGTGCCAGAGTAGAGCTTTGGTCCTACTAAGCCTGTGCAAGTTTGACAGCAAGTGACAACCAATCTTGGATCGCTCATCTCTCTCTCTCTCTCTCTCTCTCTCTCTCTCTCTCTCTCTCTCTCTCTCTTAGTCTTCTTGTTGCAGGTGCGCGGCGTCTTCTTCCACCTCGAGGTCCTCTATGGCGGACTGCCTCCTCCGGCGGCACTTCAGCTATGGCCGATCGGCCCTGCACACATCGCGCGCATGGGACAGCGGGTACCTGCTCCGATACCAGTGCAATCAGACTCGACCTCTTCACACTTGTCATGCATGCAAACAGCGAAACAGCAAACTGGCGACATGCGCCCACACAGTACTCAAAGATATCGTAACCAGGTAGGAGTTCCCTTCAAACTSGCTATGSCGACTGAGCGCCCACACAACTCACTGTTCGCACTCTGGATCACCCTGGATGTCCCACACACAACACTCTACACGCAACACACACACACACACACACGCTACTATAGCTATGGCAGCTATGGCTGCCACTATCCTATCGCTACACTACACTTCACTGCCCTCTTCGTCTTCGGGCGCACTGCAGACCTCCCCGCACAAGCTGCTGAGGCAGCGCTTCCGCATGGCATCCRCAGGAATGAATGAATGGCTGGACGCAGCCTCTTGATTTATACTTCTGTGCGGCGTTGGTCTGCCCTGTATCCCTTGGCCCACGATGTGCACAGTCCCAAAYGGTACCTGCTTGACTGGACCGGACTGGGCTACCTGGGACTGCTGACTCTACGTAGTGGACCTACACCACTTGCCCACTTGCCTCGGCCTAAACAGGGGCTGACTCCGAAAGGCCAGTTCTAGAAACTTCTACTTTGGSCTTTCGGTACTGTAGCAGCTACGACTTTGCCCTTTCAGGTAAGTAGCAGCTACGACCTTGACCCTTCAGACATCCTACAGCTACGACTTCGGAACTGTCTAGACTCCTACCCTACAGGTCTACAGTTCGACTCCCTTCTAAGCTGTGACCTACGACAATCTACCTACCACTGGCGTTTCGACAGGTCGCAGGTTCAAATCTACGGGTTGTCATCAATACTGTACACAGGTAAGATGGGGAACTAGGGATCGAGCCTTGGGATCTGCATTTGCTACTGCGAACTGGTGAATACCGTTTCATTATGTTTTTTTTGTTTTTTTTTTCTTGTATGTTTTTGATTTTTTAAAAATATAGCAAATCTTCAAAAAATAAAAATAAAATCATAGGGTTGTAGATCGCAAAAAAATCTACAACCCTATATTTTTTTGTTTTTTTTTTTGCTTATTCTTTCCCAGGGAAAAAATTATTCCCGCGCCCGCTCAAACTGCGCCCAAGCGCTTTTGAGCGCGGGATTGAGCGGAGCTCAAAAATTTGAGCTCCGACCCCGCGCTCAATCAGCGTGTAACACAGCCTCTGCGAATGCACAGAAAATCCTCACCCAAAAAAACAACCAAAAAAAAAGGTAAAAAAGGGCCTTGTTTTTGCCTGCACGGGGTGCCCCGTGCAGGTGACCCCCAGGAAACTGCCCAGGTTGCATGGCCATGCTGCACGGGCGGGCAAGCCACATAGCCTAGGTGTGCGCACAAATTCTTTCGTCCTGTTTTTCTCAAGTACTCTACAAGGTTCCACGGTTTTACAATATAGCGCTTCCCGTAAGAACAAAAAAAAAAAAAAAAAAAAAAAGGAAAAGAAAGAAAGAAAGAAAGAAAGCCACAGCGCTACAGAAATCTGACAATGTCCAAGAAGGTGGTGGTGGTGCTATACTCTCTTCATCAGGGTTGCCGGCGTTCGGGACGAGCCGAACGCCCGAACGTTTGGGACCCCCTCTCGACGCGTTCGGACGTTCGGCCGAACGCGGAACCAAAAGAAGAAAAAAAAAAAAAAAAAAAAGTTTCCAAAAATTCTGAAAAAAAAAATGTCATGCAGAATAATAAACTAAACAACATTTGCGTCAACAGTACATCCAAATTCCTTACCAAATTTGAAATAAAAATCAAATACGAAAAATAAATAATATTAATGAAAATAAGAAAAAATAAAACGAGAATGAAATTATTGTGTGTGCGAGCAAGTTTTTAACACTGCCATCTTTGGCAATTTTTCTTTTTTGGCTTTGTCAAATGCCATAAAATTTTATACATATGTATCTTACATAATATAGAACCTACAAATAAAGTTTGAAAAAATGATAATTTTTTTCAGGCCCCGAAATAAAGGGAAAACAAAAAGTGAAAAGAGAAAAAAAACAAATTAGTAAGTGGGAAAGCAAGTTTTGACACCACCATCTTTGCCGATTTTTCCTTATTGTTTGGATCCACAGAATGACTTTAAAATTGAGAGACCGGTAGATTACATAACAGAGAACTCACAAAAAAAAAATCAAAGAAAAATAATAATTTTTAGGTACCAAAATATTTTTTTGCGGGGTCCGAACCCCTTTGAATTCGGGCCCCGTACGGGGACCCGAACGCCCGGACGTTCGGGGGTCAGCTTAGGGGCCTCCGTACGTTCGGCCTGGCAACTCTGCTCTTCATCATGACCAGCGACCACCATGGGTGCAAAAAACACCGTGACGGAGTTGAAAGTTGAATAACAAAGAAGCGCTCAATCCGTATAGAGACAGGCTGACGGCAGACATAGCACTTCCCCCGATTACATTACCTTGTACCAGAAATTTCAGATTTCGTAATAAGGAATCATCGTGGGCAGTGGGGGCAAACCACCGGGGCCAAACCCTCCCTCAGCCGGTTTACCTTGTACCAGGAATTTCCTAATACAGAATTGACGTGGACGCTGGGGCAAACCCTCACTCAGGCAGATTACCCCCGTGAACCAGAGTTACCAGACCTTTCCTAATTCAGCATAGAAGTGGCCGCTGGGATCAAACCCTCACTCAACCTCAGTCAACCAGACCCTATGATCCCTCTGGCCATCAATCCTCGTTTAACTCACGCTACGGCAGTTCGAACCTTTCCACAGCTCCCGGTTAACCAGTCTGTGTATACGGGACATCAACCAAATTTCCACCATATGAGTGGGTCAACATTCAGTCTACATACAGGTTCGAACCTTTCCACACTTCGCGGTTAAGCAGTGTGTGTATGCGGGACATCTACCGCATAATGACCGCACGTTCTATTGCAGCCGTCGTTACGGTACCGTAACGGCGGTTCGAGCCTTCCCCGTCACCAATAGAATGCGCCGTCATTGCAGCTGACAGCTGTGTATGAGTGGGTCAACCTTCAGTCTACATAGCACAGGGATAACGACTGCAGTCACTGCACGTTCTATTCGGGGGGGATCAGGGGTACTGGCGGCCCGTTGGGGGTCTATAAGACGAGACACGCCCAACTTCTGGCTGAGCGGTCAAACAGTCGTGCTACGGTGGATTATAGGTCAAAGGATCGAGGCGCTAAGCGGTCAAAGGATAGAGGCGCTAAGCGGTCAAAGGATCGAGGCGCTTATAGGTCAAAGGATCGAGGCGCTAAGCGGTCAAACGATCGAAGCACTACAGTTGAGTTGACCATCACAATCTATTTATAGACTTTTGACTACTAGGGCATTCAATCATACTCGCACACCACTGACACCAGCCTGAGGAACGTCTTTGAGTGAGTCTGGTTCTAAACTGCCGGCAAATACATTCCGGAAATTGCCGGTTGTGTGTAATCCGCCCTCACAATGAGGAATTTTAACTTGCAAGTGGCAACGAAAAAACGCCCATAAGCTAGCTATTCAAATTTCAAACAGTGAAGGGAGGGGGGGAGGAGGGAGAGAGGGNGGGGGGGGGGAAGGGAATCCGAACTCGAGCGGTCAAACACTGCTCATTGGTCAAAGATCAACAGTAATTTTCGCATCTCTCATACTGGAGCCGAGTGTGCACTTCCGCGGATTAATACTAGTGAAAATTGAAAGAGCATAATAATTAATAATAATAATAATAACAATAATAATGTAATTAAATAACGCAGATCGAATGTCCGTGTAAGTGCGATCTCGAGCCAGGACCGACTGCGGCAGGATAGAGTGAATGACCAATCACCAATTTTCTCATTTTATTTTCTTCTGATTTTTCAATAATTCAGCGAGTGATTAGTTAAGGATCCGATGGACTGTTTTTATTTGACAGCGTGAGGGAGGACAAATTGTGCGATCATCCGTTTTGATCATGCCAATACTGCCTTCCCCCGAATATAAGGCACCCTGATAATGAATGTATACAAACTATCTTTCCGGCCGGATGCAGTGAAAGAAATGAGGGTGCGTTGTGTTCGGG